CATGAACCCACTCATCCCACAGTTGGACAACCTGTCCAGAAGGATACCATGAAGGATAGTATCAAAATCCAGAAAAACTACATCCACCACCTTCCCTTCACCCACTGGGTGGGTGACCTTATCATGGAAGGATATCAAATTAGTTAAACGGGATTTTCCCTTTGTGAACCCATGGTGACTGTGCCCGATGATTGCATTGTTCTTTAAATGCCTTCCAATAGTACCCCGTATAATCTAATCCATAATTTTACCAGGAACTGAGGTTACGCTAACAGGTCTGTAGTTCCCGGGGTTCTTCCCTCACACCCTTTCTGTAGATGGGACTAACACTGGCTAGCTTCCAGTCAGCAGGGACCTCCCCAGGCTCCCCAAGACCTTTGGTAGATGATCTAGAGTGGCCCTGCCATAACATCTGCCAGCTCCTTCAGCACTCTGGGGTGAATCCCACCAGGCCCCATGGACTTGCAAATGTGCTCCCGCGTACAAAATCAAGCCAGAAGGCAGAAGCTGTGCTAAAGATACGTGGTTAGACCACAGTTTGACACAAGGGGGAGATGTTCTGCCACGGATTGTCATCTTGCAGCCCATCCACTGCAGCAGCTCCCTAGAGTATGGGCTGCAAATCCTATTTCTGCCACCTCCTTTGGCAAAGGAGATACTTTCTTGCCAGGTGTAAAAAAAAAAAGCCCACTTTGGTTTAGTTTTAGTGATTTAATAGCATTAAACCCAACATTCTTTAAACTCATTCTTGAACTCTGTTCTTTTGAAACACTAAAAGCGATTTTCTTTTTAAACATCCATAATATTAAAAGCACTGAGGGTTTTGGAGCTAACAGCCTTTGAAGAATATTCTCCTTCTGTACACCACCCAAAAATACACGGGTGCTAACAACTAAGGAAAGACCTGCTCCTCCTCCAGCCTGCTGGATGGAGCCAGGGGTGGGAGTGAAATCTGCTCTGGCAAAGCCCCCTGGTTGTATGGCACTAACACAACTGGCAAAGGCGAACATGAAGAAAATACATTTGAAGCAACTGGAAGAAAAATGGAAGTAGAGGAGAGAAAAAGGAGGAGGAGGCAAAACCCGCTGTTCCTCCTCTTGCTTCCCTGGAGCTATTCAACGCTAGCAGCATGGTTATCTTTGTACTGGGGCAGGATCCCATTTAATTGGAGATGGAGGCATCAAAGTGCCTCTGAGAAAGCTTCCAGCTTCAGTACACTTCAGAAATGTTCCTCTGCTCTTCTGCAGAGCTGGTCTGTGAGGTAAATAGGGAATTAAACCCGCTGTCCTTGTGAGAAAAGGAGGGGCAGCAACAATACGTGTGCTAGGTTACACAGCAGATAGGCAGCAGGGCGAGACTTCACCGCACCGTCTTTCTGCTTAGGTGCCACAAGACTAGAGACAGAGAACAAGGCAGTTGCCTGTTCCGACTGACACGGAAAGTTGGGTTTCACCGGCTGTAGCTTCCAGGCAGGCTGTCACTGCTGAAAGCAAATTAGATCAGCTGGGCATCAAGCGATACCTCCCATCAGTTTTCACCGCCCACTGCTGCCAGCTTGACGCTTCTCTTTCGCGCTGCATGTGCCAAGTGTCTTACAAAGCCAGCTGCAACATCTACTGGAAGGACACGAAGAACAACCACAGGTGGGGAGAGGAGGCAGGGGATCAGGGTTGGGGTGAGGAGGCCTTTTCCTGCCTCAGTCCAGGCAGAAGACGGGGTTCTCCAAGAAGACTGCAAGCTTGCTGGCCACCAAGTCCAGGTCACTGGTGTTGGCATATTTGAGCAGATTGGTGTTCTTGACGAAGTAATGCTTGAGGAAGTGCTGGCTTACACACTTGTGCAGCTTCTGCACCAGCCTTAGAAAGGCTTCAGGGAAGCAGCGCCAATCCTTGGTGCGTGGGTATTTTTCACACGTCCAGAATAGCACTGTCTGCAAGAAGCAGATGGGAGAGAAGAGGTGTTAGAGGTTCTGTCGAGGGCTCACACAGCTTACTAAGGCAGTTTTAGTGCTGGTAAGTGGCTGACAGCCTTGGAAATCAGAGACTCGCACTGCTATCTCCCCGTGTTAACATTTCTGCGATGGAAGGATCGCAACTGAAGTCTCCTCTGGGGATCGGGCAGAGCAACTCTGACATGCCTGGTTAGGATCTCTTCCCAGAGGAGCCCCACTCCATTCACTGCAGCAGAAGCCCAAGGAAAATGGTCTTGCTAAAATAATCTTAGCCTATTCTCCATCCTCCTGCAGGAGCCTCTGTCAAAATGCCAGGCATTTTCAGCTGTAGAAAATGGCCTGTTATACAAGTATAGAAGCCAGTAGGTACAAGGAGGGAGAGAAGAATTAACATAATTGATTGCTTCAGCTGTATTTGTACTGAAGATGCACACGAATCTGCATCCTGAACAGATTTTCCAAGCAACTATTGCAGGTGCAGGGCATGCTTTCTGGTCAAGTGCAGCCTGTGTTTTTCTGACACATGATACTAACAGCATGCACTTTGTTCTATTTCCCCAAGTCTATTTTATGTTTACATTTGAGAAATCCATAGTTAAAATAATGAAATGCATATGATTATTGTTCTTATAGTATTATTTTTATGCTGCCCACATTGCATTTTTACATACTTTCCTATGACTGAGAAGAATTTTCTGGAGGTCTTTACACTTATTCTACCAAAAAAGCCACACCGACTGCCTCGGGCAACCTGAAATCAGTTTTAAAAGTAAAAAGTCACCTCTCTCGGTTCAATAATTCTGCTAAGTTCCTTAGCGTCCTCTGAATCTCAATTTTATTTTGCAGATTCAGCAACCTAAAAAGAGACCCACAGACACTGTGAGATGTGGCCAAATTACAGCCCTCAACTCCTCTGTTTCTTTCGAGGCAGAATTTTGTCAAAATAAACCACACTATTCTGGATTGCCTGGCTTGGTGTTTTCCTCCAGCAGGCATTGCAATAGTTGTAGTGCTGAGGAATTTCTTCTCAGATAGCTTTTCAAATGTGAACAATTTTTGTTCACAGCTGCAATAACCACAAGGACTTTTTTTTTTTATTGTTGCCAGGGAACAAAAGACATAGTGAGGAATTCAAGATGTAACTCTGCGAGAGCTGCTCCTTGGAGAACTGCAGAGCAGTTACCTTTCGTCACACTAAAATTACTTCAGCAAGATCCATGGGCAGCAGTTGCAATGAAGTTTCTGGAGGCAAGGAAAATAGCGTTGCCTTTCCAGTCAGGTGCCAAACAGGTGATCTATCCCCAGTATTTACTGAACCGTCCCTAACTGCCAGCTCTCTACTGGAGGCATAGAGTTGGCTTTCAAAACGTACCTAGATCTTTTCAGACTTTCCGATCTTGAGCTTCATTCCTATGGAGGTAAGCATAACGAGTGTGCTGACTTGGTCCTCTAAGGCTTTCACAACTTCTGGGGGAAGGATTTCCTCTGTCATAGAGGGCTTTTTTTCATGAGGAGTCTTGTTTAATCGTAATTATCAGATACCTCAGACAGTGGAAACCTAATAATGTAAAAAACCCAAACACTAAATATCTGATCAGCTGCTGGTTTCTCAACTGACCATTTCTCTCTCTCTTTTTTTTTTTTTCCCTCTCTTTTGTCTCTTTTTTTCCCCTGTTTTTTTTTCTCTTTTTTTCTTTTTTTTTTTTCTCTCTTTTTTTTTTTTTTAAAAAATGTAAGTAATGTCAAAGCATTCCTTCTGTCTGGTAAACCAATCCTCTCTTATGGTAAAAGCCTGAAGTGCAGTTACAGTAAGGAACTGAAGAGCTTCTAAAGAGCTTTTTATCTTGATCAAGAGTCCATGCAAAGCACTTCCTGCACCTCTTCTCCTTGAGCCAGAAAAAGAGATCGTTACTAATGGTTAAATGGTTTTCCACTTTCTCCTAACTTTGAGAGTTTTTCAACCAGGTTGTTCTTACAGGCACCATGAAGTTTTGCATTCTGCTAAGCTATAACCAGCCTCATCAACTCTTTTTTGACTCTATCTTGACTTAGATTAGTCCCATGACTATAATAATATTTGATGGCCACAATCTTTTCTTTAGGAGCAATCTAGGCCTTGCATCTGGTTTTGGACACCAAAAGATCAGTAACTACTGAACCCTGAAGTATGTGCAGGGAGGATGCTACCACCACTTTTCCTCTTTCTTCCCACTCCAGGTGAAACATCACCAGAACCATCAGTTTGCACCTCATTCGTGAAATACCGCTCACCTAAGAGAATTTTGCTTGGTGCACATCCGCAAAGACAAATGCACAATTTTCCTCCAGATGATAGACAGATGGATATGGATGGCTGGGATAGTCAAAAAGCAGGAGGTAACTGTGCAATTAAAGACAGTAATACAATGCCTATGTGAAGTCAAAACAGAGCAGGGGGCCCCAATTCTAACATTATTTAAATTGCTACAATCATAATGTTCCTACAGGCTTTAGTTTCTTGTTGAAGTTTGGAACATATATTTACTGAACTTCTTGCCACTGTAAAGCAATGAAATGGTACTACAGTTTTGACATTTACCTTGCAAGTTAACATAGGCACTACAGTGATTTACACCATGATATTTTGACATTACTGGATGGAAACTCCTGCAACAGATACTGGGACCGTGTCTTGGTATCATGGTGATGCCTACCTGAAGGTGATAAGCTGTGATGACAGGCTTATTTCCAGTACACCAGACATCTTCCTTCATCTGCCTCATGACCCTGAAGCACTTCATGCGACAACCACCATCTTCATCAAGTCCTTCCATGAGTATATGCTCGGCACGGGAGAAGCAGAGCTGCCAGTGATAATTGGAGCGGGCCAAAAGGTCAAAACCAAGTGACTGTGGACAAAGGGGGAAGTGTGACACCAGATTGGAGGAAAACTTCTCTGAGCAACACAGAGAGATGTTACAAAAAGGATGCGTGACATCTCTCAAAGTGTATTCTAAACAGGGTTAGCAGTGGCAGCAAACACGTATCATGCTCCAGTCCTAATTCCTAGTCAAATGACTGTGTGATTTGCTTTGTTTCCTCATTGCTGACATCAATTACTCCCAGAAGATCCATCTCTAGAGCCACCAGGTGCAATACCACAGTGCTACTAAAGCAGAGGCACAGCTCTGCAGGCACTTTGCTGTGGAGCATCAGGTCGTGCATGAGAGGAGCAGCACTAGAAGGTGTAACTGGACCTGCAGGAACATGGCAGCTGGGGCTGAGCTGGAGTGCCAGAATCCAGC